GTCTGGGAAAGTTGAAGGCCTGTTTCGTCTGTGCAATTTTGGCTGGGAGCACATTAGGGTATACCCCCCGTGTGATTGATTCTCTTAGGCTTCTTCATTATAAAGGGAGAACTATTTTGTTTTCACAGGGAGGCACAGAGTATATTGGGCACAAATCTGCCTCCCTTCACTGCTGCCCTCTGCCAGCACCATGAGTGAATTTACACATTACCCTATCAATTTTCACATCACCGCCCAGACAACCACACACAACCTATTCCAGATACAAATAGTTGCCAACTCTTTTTATGAGTCCAGCAAAAATCTCAGTTTCAAAACATGACAGAGAATATGAGAAAAGGCAATTCTGTTAATTTCACTCATAGATTGTAGATGTAAAACTCCTAAAGAAAACATCAACAAATCAAACCCAGCAACAGTCTAACAGTGTTTATTTCAGGAACTTAAGGTTGTTTTAATATTTGGAAATCAATTAATTTACAAAATTAACAGCTCAAAGGAGAAAACCTATAACCATTAATATAGAGGCTAAAAATAGAGAAAACTCAATGTGTATTCAGGATGAGCTGTTAATAGATTAGGAGTGGAGAGCTGTGACAATGCATCTAGTAAACCTGTTAAATGGCAATTGTGTCATAAAGAGAAATCATTATCTTTGAGATACAGACCAAGTGCAGGGAGCACCTGATCATACTTGCATTCAGCACTGACTCGAGACTCTACCCAGTATGCCAAGGCAGGACAACAAAATACAAAGTGTGTGGTTGGTTTTCCTTTTTAAAAATGACAATTTTAAGGGTTAGTGAGGACACGGAGCAACTAGAGCTTTAGAAAACAATCTGGCATTATCTAGTTTGAAGATACTCATATTGAACAGTCACCATTTTCACCTCTGGGTATGTGTCCTGTCCATGCGAACCAAGAGTCCTGAACAAATATGTTCATAAACAGCCCTGTCTGTGATACAAAAACTTGACACACTATTGATGGCGGTAGTCTAGAGGGACAGGGAAATGCATTACACAACATGCATACATGAAATACTATACAGCTGTGAAAATAAATGACAACCTTCAACATACAGAGCTGAGTCTTAAGGACATCACTGAGTAATAAATGAAAGTCACAGAAATATAAATGCAGAATGAGGGCCTCCCCTGGTGGCGCAGCCGTTGAGCGCTGGGCTGCGAAGCTGCCCGCAGCATCTGCAGCGCCAGTTCGATCCCCGGCTGCTGGCGAGGGTCCCACATGGCACGCAGACCTCTCCTGCCGCCCACTGCTCCCCTCAGCAGTGTATCTCATCACTCTGCCTGTTCTGTTCCCCTCTCTGGCTCTGGTGAATTCTCTCACCCTCCTGTGCGTCTGACTGTACCCAGTGCTTGCATAAACAAAGAAATCTTTAAAAAAAAAAAAAAAAAGACAGATATTTAAAATAAATAAATAAATAAATGCAGAATGAATGCACTTAGATAGTTTTAAAGCCTGTAAAACAAAATAATATATTGTTTAGAGTAATATAAACATATCTAATGAAACTACAATGGAAATCAAGGGGTTAGGAGAATAAAACTCCAGAGTGGTCACGCAGAGTGAAGGGAAGGAATGGGATCCAAGTGAGGCAAAGACCGAATGGCAGGAGGGTGTGGGTGAGGACCCCCATGCTCCGCAGGCCGAGCGAACACAGCAGCAACCTGGGCGCCCAAGGCGGGGTCAGGCAAGGAAGAGGCAGTGAACAGAGGATGCAGTGACAGGTGACTTGCCTACTTTATTCTTGCTTGGGCAAAAGTTGCCAAAATCATAACATGGACATTAGAACCATCTGTTAACAGGATAAATGAGTGAACTGGACAGAAGTTACCAACAGAAATTCAGAAAAGTACATGTAAGAATCTGCTCCCAGCAGACCGGGGCATTTCTGTCGTGGGAGCACACATCCATCAGGCAAAGAACAAAGGAGCTTCAGGGGGTTCCAAAGAGAAGCTGCTCTGATACCTGTCTATGAGGGTCTACCCTGAGAGTACACGTCATCCTTACCAGTCCTACCACCATGCGTGACCAGTGCCTCTAATGAAAATAAAAGAGCTTTTGAATCTTTGTCAACAACATCTGGAAAATGGCCCAAAGACTCCTCTTAATGCAAATGCTGTCACCCTAGGACTGAACAGACCCATCATAATTTACCCTTCACCCTCATAATCCTTCCTCCCCCTTCTGCTTTGCTAATGGTTCCAACTGATTAATCGCTCAAGTAAATCCTGAAGGTCGAAAAAGAGACCTAATTATCGTCTGTGTTTTCTCCATCAACCAGAGCCACTCTGAGCACACCAGGGCCTGAGACCCAACGGGTTGCCAATGTTGCTCCTGTTACTCAGAGTCCGCTTCCCAACCTATCTTGACCCACATCTTCTCAGGAAGGTCCTCTAGAAACTCAACAGTTGCTCAAATGTGAACACATCTATACACGTAGCTGGGCCACAACTGATTCGATGGAGATTTATCCTGGACTTGTCATCAATGCTTATGCTACAAAAATGATTTACTACTCAAAAAAGTCTGCAGTACATTATAGAAAAAAATATAAATATGGTTTTTTCTTTCATGGGGTGCTTATGCGTGGAACCCAGGCTCACGTTGTGAGAAAGCCCAAGCTCGTCCCCAGGGAGAGAGGCTCCTGCCAAGAGCAGCAACAACCAGCAGACGTGTGAGTGAGGAGGCTTCAGAGGACTCTGGTCCTCAGCCTTTGTGCTCTTGGGCAGAAGCCCAGACACACCTCATGGGGCAGAGACAAGCCATTCCCACTGTGCACTGTCCTAGTTCCAACCCAGAGACTCCATGAGGAGAATAAATGGCTATTTTATGCCACAGTTTTAGAGAAATGTGTACACAGCCAAAGCAACTAGAACAAAGACATTCTAAGGAGAAGAAACTACACAGCCTCAGAAGGTCACAGAGTGCTGTGAGTACTGGCGGGCTTGGGCAACAAGGCCAAGAAGGCTGGTAGGACCAGACTATGAAAGATCTTAGATGACAGTGTTTTAAAAATTAGACTTAACCTACTGGCAGAAGAGAACTGTTGCAAGTTTTAAAACTGGGAAGTGAAATGTGCTAAGATCTACAATTCAGCAAGATATCTCTGTGATTGGTGTGAGGGAGAGACTGGGGAAAACAGACTCAAGAGTAAGGGAAGTTTCTCCAGTCAAGATGAATCCTCACCCAGCGATATGGGTAGGTAACATGTGTCGTGCCTTTGTCCCTCTTATGACGCTGCATCTGCTGCTCATTTATGCTCAGTCTCACATGTATCAACATGCTGGCAGGGGGAGGTCATGTCCACACAAAAACCTCCACAAGGATTATAAATATCCATAAATTCTTATTTATAGCAGCTTTAATTATAATTGCCCGAGCTTGGACACAACCGAGATGTCCATTAAATGAGTGGACAGAAACCCTTGTATCTTATTCAGCACTAAAGAAATGGGCAATCAGGCCAGGAGAAGACATGAGAAAGCTTAGGTGCAAAAGACTAAGTGAAAGAAGCCAATCTGAAAAGGTCACAGACTGATTCCAACCATACAACCTTCTGGAAAGGGCAAAACTATGGAGACAGTTAAAATATCAGGGGCTGCCAGGGACTGGGGGCAGGGAGGGATGAACAAGCAGAGCACATAAAATATAGTACAATACATCCATGGTGCACACACGTCATGAGACATTTGTCAAAATCCAAGGAATATACAAATTCAGAGTGACCCTTAAAGCCTTATGGTCTAAGTTGTACGGAGGTGTCATGTAGAGTCGCGGATTGCAACAGAGGTGGGGTGTAGACAGTGGGAAAAGCTGAGCCCCTGTGGGGCAGGGGTCACATGGGGATATCTCTGTACCTTCCACTCAATTTTTCTGTGAACCTAAAACTGCTCTAGAATATAAAGTCTATTTAAAAAATGTTGGCCGGGGTTGGGGGGCGGGTTCCGTTGACATGAAGTTTATCCTAAGAATACAAAGCAAGCTGTCTAAAAAATCGTAACTACTTCTAACTCATTATCCATGTGAATAAGGCCACGCTGTGCTACTCATATCACCATTACCCACAACTTCTTGGTTTTGCATCTATTAAAATATCCTCATCATTCTCTTGACTGGCTTCATAGGAAAACAACGTAAACATGAACTTGTAAACTAGATCTATACTAGTAAACTACAGTTTTATAATTTGGATATTGGGGCTCTATATAAGAGGGAAATTGACATGCCTAGGCCAAAGTGGGGGAGAAATGAAGCTCAGCACACCAGGAGCCCCCTCTGTGGCCAGGGAAAGGCTTTCTGGATAAACAAAAGCAAGGGTCTATAAGGGCATGAAAGATACTAAAAAGAATGCTTCAATCTCATCTTGGCAAAAGCTATTTCATCCTATTTTCTGAGAAAATCAAGAGAAAAATGTATTGAAAACTGAAAGTTCGTAGAGAACAGAGCAGGAAGGGGCGGCTCAACAGAAACCCATCAGCTTTGGTCTGGCAGCCCAGTCAGGTGGAACCTGACAGTGTCATTTACTGGAGGTAAGTTCTGGATCATTTTGTATGGTGCCTTTCTCTAATGCCAATTATTCAAGATGTGACTACCAATCTGCGGAATACCATGCATCTTTTATCTAATGCTTGCTTCTGGAAAATGTCAACAAAGTTAATAAAAATCAGAAAAAGAACTAAAATTGATTTTTCTTCTTTTCAACAATTTGTAAAAGATCTAAGATTTACAGTTAACTGTTGAAACAGAACAATGGGGGGGGCGGATAAGCAAGATAAAGAAAAACATGAAACATGATAAAATAAGATTATAGGGTCATGTGGGTTGAATTTATCCACGCTAGTCCTGCTCCTCATGATCAAGGTTAAAGTCATTGCTGCGTTATTTCACAAAATAAAATCCAACAAGAAACAATTCCTGTGCAGTCTTTCTAACCCATGCTTCTGAGTAAATTTCCTAGTTTTTAACCAATTTACCTGCATCCCAGAGGTTACAAACGTCGGCTTGACCTTCTGACAACCGTGTAGCTGTTGAGACAGTGGAAGGCGGAACTGTCGGCAGAAGTGGCTTTGGCTCATCCTCATAAAATAGTATCAGGTCCTGTAGAAAATAAGAGAAGTGAAAGTTGGAAAAAAAAAAAGTTCATCCCACTACCTCACTTTGCTACAACAGATGGACAGTTCATAGAGATGTGATGCAACACCATCAAGCCCACGTTGTGACTGAAAGAACTCGCACCGCAATTGTACACATGGGTGTTCACCAAGAAGAGGTGGTTTTCTATCCTTGGGAGTTCCCTTCCTTGCTGAAGATACCCTGTGTAGACAAGCAATGGTTCTGCTTGGGGCATTAACTTATAGCCTATCGCAGAGGCTGATTATTCTACTTTCCTGGTAGGAAGTGTCCCATTGTATGGGCAGGTCACACCTTCTTTATCCACCTCCTGCATATAGACATTTGAGTTGTTTCAAATTTCAGCTATGATGAGTAGAGGTTAATATGAACACTCTTGTTTAAATCTTCTTATGGCCCAACGCTCTTGGATAGAGAAAGACTAGATCTCAGAATAGGTTCAACGTCACGAGGGCTTCCTTAGAAACTGCCAAATCATTTCCCATGTGATTTATAATTCAACTTTTATTTCAAAATCATTGTGGATTCGCATTCAGTTGTAAGAAATAGTGTAGAGAGGTTCTGTGTTCCCTTAACCCAGTTTCCCCTGACTCTGTCAGTCTTAGCTTGGTGATGGGATTTTAAAGACTAGATAATGCTTTGGGGCACTCACCTGGATCCAGTTAAGTTTCTCCTAAGTTTTCCCCCTGTTCACATACCTCTAGTTCAACCCTACGGGTAATTATGACTACAAGATGCCCTTCAGCAATAACTAGCAGGAAAAATTGAAAAGAATAAAGGTTTGTTACTTACAGGACCCGGAAATTGCACAGCATACCTGAGCCAAAATGAGGTGGGGGAAGGGAGAGAGAGACCTGGGGTCCTGCTTTTATTGGCTGAGGATGGGGGTTTTAGGGTTTGGGACTTCCTCTTTACTGGCACAGTCAAAATCTAAGAGTGGGGATTTAAAGCACAGAAAAAGAGGGCCTCCCCTGGTGGCGCAGCGGTTGAACGCTGGGCTGCGAAGCTGCCTGCAGCCACTGCAGTGCCGTTTTGATCCCCGGCCCCCGGCGAGGGTCCAACATGGTGGGACAGACCTCTCCTGCCACGCCCGCTGCTCCCCTCAGCAGTGTATTTCGTCAAGTCTGCCTGTTCTGTTCCCCGCTCTGGTGAATTCTCTCACCCTCCCGCACTTCTGACTATACCCAGTGCTTGTATCAATCAATCAATCAATCAATAAATAAATCTTTTTTTTAAAAAAAAAACATAGGAAAAAAAAACAGGAGGAAAAAGGCAAGACCCGTCAGTCCCAACTAACCTGTTACCTAAATCAGCAAGGGTCTGTAAAACAAAAGGGACCTCAGTTGGGGAGGCTCTTTGCTGGTCCTGTGACTGGCCCTGTGTTTGAATTAGCTCTCTTTGAAATGAAGCCTTTGTTGTGGAAGCCTTGACACCACACTTCAAATAAGTACTTCAATTACAAAAAAGAAAAATCAACTCTGGGAGTTTACAATACACCCCTAAAGGTAAACATCTCACGAAATTAGAGTACAACGTGACACCTGGAATATTGACATTGACATGGTCAAGATACAGAACATGTCTATCGCTATTAAGGATCCTTCCTGTGGTCGTTTCCTGCCATCCAGTACCCCCCCCCCCGTGACTACCCATCTGTTCCCTACTTCTGTAATTTTGATATTTGAAGAATGTTATACAAGTGGAATCATACAGGATGTAGCCTTTGGAGACTGATTTTTTTCAACTGGCATAATTCCTGGAGATTCATCCAAGTTGTTCTGTGCGTCAATAATTTGCTCCTTTTTATTGCCAAGTAGTATGCATGGTCTAGATGCTCATAGTGTGTTTAACCCATCAAAAAAACATCTGAGTTGTTTTTAGTTTTTATCGATTGCAAATAAAACTGCTGTTAACATAGATTTGTACGAAAATAAGTTTCTGGAACCTGGGATAAACGAGTGCAATTGCTGGATCATATGGTAGTTGTATGTTTAGCTTCATGAGAAACTGCACAAGTGTTCTAGAGTAGCTGTACTACTTTTCATTCCCGGCTGATAAGGATGTGAGCCAGTATCCCCATGTGCTTATCAGCATTTGGTGCTGCCGCTATTTTTTATTTTAACCACTTTGACAGTTCATTGTTTTGTTTAATTTATATATTCCTAGTGATACTGAACATCATTTCATGTGCTTATTTGCCATCTGAATTTCCTGAAGTGACTTCTTGTCTTTGCCCATATTCTAATTGGCCTGATCAGTTTTTAACTGTTGACTTCTAAGTGTTCTTTATCCTGGATATGTGGTTTAAGCAAAGAAATCCAGTTTCTATTTCTCCTCTCTGTCCCCTATGGGACACCTTTCTTTTTGAAATGTTTGGTTTATCTTTAGATGTCCCATAGTATAAATAAAAATCCAAAAATGGACTCAAACATAAATGGGACTTTATTATGTGACAGAAACCACAATTCAGATCAACAAATGAGATGGAGACAACTAATTATCATTTGTAAAAATAAAATTATAAGGTGGCTCTCTAATACTCTCCATACATTAAAACAAATTCTTGAGAGATAAAATTTAAATATACACTTAAAAATTAAAACATACAAAGCTAAATAGTTTCTCATGAAACTAAATCTCCTCTCACCACAAGACATGGCAATTGCACTCTTTGGTATTCACTGAAAGATGTTGAAATGTATGTCCATATAAACACCTACACACAGTTGCTTATAGCAGCTTTAGTTATAGTTTCCAAGTGCTGGAAGCAATCAAGATGTCCTTCAGTAGGTGAATGGATTAGTAAATCTGTTGGCTGTTGTATATCCAGACACTGGCATGGTATTCAGTGGTAAAAAGAAACAAGCTGTCAAGTCATGAAAAGAGTTGTGTAAGTGTAAGAAGCGTAAGTGTAAGTTACTAAGTGTAAGAAGCCAGCCTAAAGAGCCTGTGTACTATGATTCCAACTACGTAACCTTTTGGAAAAAGCAAAAACTATGGAGACAACAGCAGGATCAGGTCTTCCTAGGGGTTGTCGGGGAGGGGTCATGACAGATGAAGCACAGAGAATTTTTAGTACGATGATGCTTTTCTCTATGATATTATAATGACAGATACATATCATTATACATTTATCAAAACCCATAGAATATACAACATGAAGAATGAACCCTAATGCAAACTATGGTCTTTGGGTGTTAATAAAGTGTTAATGTAGGTTCATTCATTATAATAAATTACCACTCTGATGTAGGATGTTGCAGTAAAGACAGTCATGGGGGTGGGGGTGATGCAGTGGGTGTATGGGGAAATCTCTGTAACTTTCAGTCAATTTTGCTGTCAACCTAAAACTTATTTAAAACATAGTCTGTTGGGGCCTCCCTGGTGGCCTAGGGGTGGCCTAGTGGCTATCACCACTACAGCCTGAGTTCAATTCCCAGCCAGGAGTTAAAACCCACATATGGCACAGCAGACCTCTCCTGTCTCCCTGCTGCTCCCCTCAGCAGTGTATTTCAGTCAGTCTGCCTGTTCTGCTCCCCACTCTGTCTCTGGTGAATTCTCTCACCCCCACCCCAGCACCTCTGGCCTATACCCCCGTTTTTCTGCACACACACACACACACACACACACGCATCAATCAATATTTCTTTAAAAAAAAAAAAAAAACATAGTCTGTTGAAACAAAAGCCAGACTGACATTTTATAAAGTCTTCAAGTAGGGAAGGTCTTTCTAAGAAGACTTAAAATGTGTATGTTCAGAACATGCAGCCCTACCCCATCCTCCAGGCAGGGGAGAAGGCTGGAGACTGACGGAAGCCAGTCTCCATGAAATCCCAAAAGCAGGGGCTTCAAAGAGTTTCTGGGTTGGTGAGCACAGCTGCGGGCCAGGAGTCGCAGCTCCATGGGGAAAGCACTGGGGACTCTGGGACCTTATCCTATGTAATTCTTCATCTGTCTGTCATACCTTTTACAGTGTCATAAGCCAGTAAATACAAATGGTTCCCTGAGTTTTCTGAGCTGTTCCAATAAACGATGGAACCCAATAAGGGACTCAGGGGAAACCTGATTTACAGTGGTCAGAGACACAGGTGCCACCGCCCTGGGGTCAGAACTGGGCTGTGGCTGCAGTGTGAGAGTAAAGAAGAAAGACAGGAGTGGCTCGCTTCTCTTTTACAAATGCAAAATACATATAAAGTAAAATAATCAAACCCATAAAGTGAAAAATCAAATGAAAAGCTAACATGAGTAAATACAGAACCAGGTAAAATGGCTAATTATTTATTGAATAGCTCATGGAAAATAAGAAAAAGATGATAATCCAAACAGAAAGATGAACAAAACAATAAGAATTAATAATGTTTAAAAAACACAAATGTCCAATAAACACAGGGAAAGTGGTATAATCTTACATATACTTACAATAAAAAATTGAAATTCTCTCTCTGGACTGAAAACAATGTAAAAACCTGATAATGCTCAGGTTTGCAAAGATGAGGGGACTGGAGGCTGACGGGGACATGCTTTTTTGATGGATTTAAACTGGAGCAGCTTTGGGGAGGACAATTTGGCAGTACTTTTCAAAACTAAAAATAAATACAACCTTTCAGCAATTCCACTTCTGGGACCAGCATCATAAAAATACATGTACAAGGGTCATTGTTGCAACCTTGCTTTTAATAGACAAAAACACGAAAAATCCCTAAATGATTACCAGTAGGGAGCGATTAGATAAATTAAGATTCATCTGCAAGCCAAGAACACAGCACCACTGCAGGTACTGATAAAGAAATATGTCCAAGATGTGCAGTTTAGTAAAATATATATATGTATCTTTTTGAACAAGGTATGTTGAATGATTGCAAGAATTAAATAGAAAGATGTCCAAGATGTAATGCATTGTTCAAAGCATGTTGTAGACTAGTAAACATTAAACATTTAGAGAAAAGAGATGTATGGGCACAGAAAAT